CCGGACAAGCGTGTGTCCCAGTCACAAACACCCACACAATCAACACCACGATGTGTGGGTCCCATGCTGAAAATACTTTATTACAGCGGGCGCAAAACTTCCGTTTACTGGCCTGAACAGGCTTAACCATTTTGAGCAAATCTCAGGCCGAAAAAATTTTCCACGTCCACTCAGTGGAGCGACAAGAAAGAGAATGAGTATGTGAGGTGATCATCCGCGTTGGTGAGGACTGCGCGATGCCTCGTGCTGTCATGGACTAGTGAGCCACGACTGAGACAGGAAGGCACGCACAGCGAGGAGAGAGGACAAGGTAGGCCTGGAGCAAAGTTTTAATTCGTTTCCACTCATGAGGTCGAATGAAGAGAGAGAGTGCAAATTAGGTGAGATAGGATAAGTTTAAAATTTGGTGGTCTTGATCTGTAGGAAGATCTATGAGAGGACTGTGGTGAACTAACTGGACTGGCCAGTGGCTAGTGTAAGGAGACCTTGGAGGAGACATCCTCGGCGAGCGCTGGGGACTTGTGCGAAGCTCTTCTAGATCTTCTGGGCGAGGTAGATTTGGAGCCACTTAGCCTTAGCGACCTTGGCGAATGTATCGAGTCAGTGTCGAATCGACATATGGCAGCTTGCTTCACAAGCGACCTCTGTGTTCTACAGGGTGTGGGCTCGGCCGATGGCGCTCCTTCTCCCGCGATGTCCCTACGCAGCTGGAGAGGCTCTAGCTCCTTCGCTGAGGCTGACCTGGGACTTCCTTAGCGAAGTGATAAGCTACGGGCTGGGTTGCCCTTGGCGGAGGCGTTTGTGGGCTCTGGGGCCCTCACAGCGAAGCCAAAGGCGGGCTCTGGGGCCCTGTATGACTTATTATGGGTTGGGCTCTGGGGCCCGTGGCTCTGGGGGCCTCTGTAAACCGTAACGGTCCTCCATCAGTCTCATGATTTGGTTGACCAGGTGCGTCTGGGGCGGTCTGCGCTGGCGTTGAGGTGGCCTCTCTGTGAAAGTGGCGGGACCCTCAATCATAAACTCAGGCGTCAGCGTAGGCATCTCTGGTTGCGTGTTGATCTGCGCTGTAGTGACGGTAGCAGATACTGGACGTTTCTTATGACGTACATCTGGAATGATAATCGGAATGTCATCATCATATAAACATAATTCTGAGACAGGTAGAATATCGGAGGCAAAATTATTTGTAGCTTTCGTAGATTTCCCTTTTGACGAAGCTGTGGACCTGGGGGTTCGAAGCGTACGTTGAGATGATGTGGACGCTTTCCTAGTCTTAGACTGTGAAGACGGAATGTCTTGAGATGCAGGTCGCTTCTTGGACATAGCGGACTGCGTCCCACGCTTATCCCCCGAGGGAAACTCAGGCAGGCCACCAGCCGGTGGCGGGTCGTCAGTCAACAGTTGACAGGGTATATTAGCTTCCGATCTATTAGCCATGACTGAAGATTGTTTGCGAGATTTATCTGCCTTCCGTCTCAAAACGGAACATAAATATTTATCAAAGGCAGAAATTGGTAAATTAATACATAATTTACAACGAGAAACAATAGAACATGGAGTAATGCAACTAGGGCATTTTAAATGTGGATCGGTAGCGGAATAACGTAGTTTACAACCTGTGCAGATTCTCATTAACGTAAACTGCTGAACAAACCGCGGCGAACCGTGAATAAAACAGCAGAAACCGCGACTAATAATCAATGCAAGTTGAATAAGGATACTAGTTACACCTCTATAACTGAATATAAGAGGTACTAAACTAAATATAAATAAAGGATATAGTGTGTTGGGAGACACAGGCGCTCTCACGTCCAGCTCACTGGGCGAAGGAGGAGAGAGTGAGGCACATGGGTTGAGGTGGTGAAACCTCGTTCCTCGCTTGTGGAAGGGAGGTAACTTCGTGGTGAGTACTAATTAGTGATTTTTTATTGAAGGGAACTTCAATTGGGAGATACACGTGTTCCACTATGTTCGCAAGAAGAAGAAGACAAGCAATAAGCATGAGTCAGGATAAGGAAAATTGAAAATTTTAACTATAAATTGTATATTTATATACTTATCCTATCTCACGACTTACACCTCTCTCTCTTCATTCGACCATGAGTGGAAACGAATTAAAACTTTGCTCAAGACCTACCTTGCCCCTCTCCCCGTGCTGTGCATGCCTTCCTGTCTCAGTCGTGCTCACTAGTCCATGACAGCACGAGGCATGCGCAGTCCTCACCCACGTGATCACCTCACATACTCATTCTCGATCTTGGAGCCATAAAAGGACAAAACCGGAACGGTGGTAATCTATGTAGTGGGGAGGTAGGGAGGGACTTTGCTCGGCGTGAGATAGGATAAGTATATAAATATACAATTTATAGTTAAAATTTTCAAATTTTAAACTTATCCTATCTCACGACTTGCACTTATCCACGGTAGGAAGGTGGGTCATAGATTACCGAATTCAAGCGATAACAGCTAGTGTTACGCCCAAACAACCGTGAAAAGCAACTGCAAGGTAGGGCAATAACTACCAAGTTACTCGTCGCGAGGGGTTAGGTCGAACCCATTGACTTATTAAGCACAATTGCTCCCAGGGGACCGGGATTCCCGAGCAATGTGGTGTTCAGTCACTACCTTCACAAAGTGAAAGGACGTGGCTTAACGAGTGTAATCAGTCGCGCTCGCCACGATTTCCAAGGTACCCCCGTAATAAAGTCAAGCGACTAGTATCGGGCCAGCCCTGCTTGAAACAACCCCCACAGACACCCCGAGGAGGGTGAAAGAGAAAGTGAATCGGTAAAACTCACAATTTTTAACGTTCAGTACCACAACATCATCTTATGACTTCCATTACTTACCACAATAAGATCACATAGATGTGTATAGGCACTTAGGAGCATGAACGCTACGAAGTGTAACACTTCGGGAAGGACTCACTTCACTGACTTAATTACTCCGTGGAGCAGAGGACAGTAAGTGAGGTGGCGACTCTCTGTAGTCTCAAACAAATGAGAGGAGAAAATCTAAATCCCGGAAGAAATAAAGACGTAAATCAGAAAAAGTTTTTCAGATTTATTCAGATTGTACACAAGCAGAAACGATCGCGACTTGGGATCAACTGCACCTTTTTTTCTTCTTCTTTAAGTGGGATCCATATAGCATCGGAGCACAAGAAAGTTCATTATCTGCGATGTTGTGCCGCTGATAACTGCTGGGCAAGGACGAGTGGTCCAAACTGATGAAGGCCTTGAATATCCGTCACCGACACATCTCTGAGGTAATGAGACGAAAATACCGTGTCAGATCGCCAAAAACACCCCTCCATTATGGCAGTTAACGAGCAGTTGCTATGCAACGCCATAGTAGAAGCCAAAGCCCTGGTTTCATGAGGGTTGACTGCCGTAGGTGGTGGCAAACCGGCAAAAGTGTAGGCTCGTAGTATTGTAGCTCGTAGCCAATATGAGAGTGTTGTGCGAGAAACTTCCGCCTTGGAAGCCGTAGACAAGGGTATAAATAGCCTCTTACGCAGGACGGGCGCTCTTCTGCGATGCTTTAAGGTAAATCGCGAAGTGCTCTGACTGGACAAAGAGACAGATCTTCAACATCTGCTGGACCCAATATGGTAGACAAAGGCGGATTGTAAAAGACGATCAGGTTGACCCGCAACTGGTTTTGCAATAAAATCCCAGCGCCAATCCCAACAATACCTTGCCATGTCTACTCTGTTCCAAAACGGACACGGTTGATATCTAGAGCATGCAGTTCTGATATAAGTGCCGCTGTGGCCAAGGCAATAAGAAAAAAGGTCTTGAATGAAACTTGTTCAAACTCCTTGTCCTGTAAGGGTTCATAATGCTCGGACACTAAGTGGTGCAGGACCACGGATAAGTCCCAAGCTGGTGGACGAAATTTCCTGGATTGGTCGGCTAGCTTAAAAGAACGGCGTAAAGTACTGCAGTTCCGTACCGTCGAAACAACCGTCGCAGAAGTTAAGTGGCTAGGACCCGAATTAAGAGCCGCCAAGTAGGTGGCTAAAGTGGAACCTTTGAGTTTCCTTGTAGCCCGCCAAATGTTGTAAATATTCATAACAACCTGGGGCTAAGCAGTAGTAGGGGAAGCGATCCTCTGACCCGACAATAACATTCAAATTTCTTCCACTTATCGTCATACAAAGAACGGGTAGACGTACGATGAGCTGCAGTGATAGCTGAGGCCACTCTGTGAGAATAACCTTTGGCTATTAGTGATTTCTGCAAATGTGCCATACGTGAAGATTGAGCGTCTGTGGTGACTCGCGTGATACAGCCGAGTCGCGGATGAACTAGTAGGTCGTCCCGCGACGGGAAGAGGAATGCTGCTTCGACTGACTAGACTTTTAGGCCCGACGAACCAACTTCTCGCTGGCCAAAATGCAGCTACCAAAAAGTAGTTGTACTTTGTTGGTTAACAGAATTTTCTGAATCACCTTGTGAAGTAGAGCGGAGGTGGAAACGATAAGCGCTGAGGCCCCAAGAAGGATGGCCAGGCCGTCGTGATCCCAAGCTAGTGGATCTGGAATTGGAGATACGAATCTCGGCAGTTGGGAGTTGAACCGAGTGGCAAACAGATCGACACTTTCGGTCGAGAGATCGGGTAAATTATCGTCCGAAAAATCTTGGGCAGGAGTTGCCACTCTGTAGGCGACGGGCGACTGAACGAGAGACAGCGGCAATCACGCTCTTTGTTCCGGAATGTGCCTGGCTCTTGCGGCGATGTTGAGAGAATCTATCAGAAGATAGAAACGAAACGTCCACTGTAGAGTGCTGCTGAGCCCGTCCGACCCTAGGTGATTGATGTACCACACTACCGCCGAAGTTGTCGGACTGTATCAGCAGGTGAGACATCTTGAGTAGAGCCGCCCAGTGCTGAATCGCCAGTAATACTGCCTTTGAACTCCAGAATGTTTATGTGGAGTGACTTGTCTTCGACTCACCACTGCCCTGCCACTTGATGCTGAAGGAAGTGGGCTCTTAACCTTCTAGAGAGGCGCCCACAAACAACTGATGGGTTGGACTGAATGGCACCAAAGAGACGCCGGGCAAACATTCTGTACGCTTGAGCCACCAACGAGGAATTGGGCGTAGTTCCCTGGGTAACCTAATCAACACCTGAGGGTTGTTGGTTTTGAAGATGAGGGCGCAGAAATAACTGAAGTGGGCGGCTGCAGTTGACCTCTGTAAGTCAGAGCCTGAGCTGACGTTAAGACGCCTAGCAACTCTTGCCACTGGCGAGAGTTCTGGGGTGATCAAGGCTAAGCGGAACCAGACGCTGAATTTTGGTCCACCTGTCCTGGGGAACAAACAACTTGGCTTGTTCTGTGTCGAAGATTGCTCCTATGAACTGAAGTCTGCGAGTGGGTGTTAACTCCGACTTCGTAGAATTGAGGAGCCACCCTAACTGTTTGAGCAGCCTGATGGTGAACTCCCCGATGGATTTGAAGAACGTTTGGATCCTGTTGTGCCTGAATACAATCGCGTCGATATAGCTTCGAAAGTCACTCCCGAGAATGTAGGAAACTGCTGATGGGTTTGGTCACCCGAAGTAAAAAGCCACGGGTCAGAGATTCCAAATGGAAGGACGTTCCATTGGTAGTGATGGCCCCCGGAAGGTGAACCTGAGATATTTCCGATGATCTGGGTGAATCGAATGTGCAGGTATGCGCTCTTGAAGATCTAGGGATATGAGGAAATCCCTTTCTTCAGAATTGAGCGGAGAAGACTGACCGATACCATGCGAAAATGAGGTGGTTGTTGCAGGAATCGAGCATTGAATGTCTTCATATTGAAGATGAGACGCAACTTGCTGGAGTTTTTCTTTGGCACCAGAAAAATCGGGGAGTAAAATCCTGGAGTTATGCACACCTGATCTAGGTGTTCTATTGCATGTTTCTCCAGTAGAGTTTGGATTGTAGTCGAAAGGACTGCAGCCCGATCCAGAGGATATATTTGCTGCAAGGGTTGAGTGGTGAGGGGTGGATCCCCGACCACAGGCAGTCGATAGCCGTGAATGAGAGTCATTGTGACAAAAGGATCTCCCAGAACCTCCCAGTTGGGAGCAAACAGACCTAACCTCCCTCCTACAGGGGAATCGAACACTGGAACCACCGGATCCGGCAGAACCAATCCGAGCTCTGACTTCCGTGGAGTCACTGTTTGGACTGTCTATGTCCAGTTCCGTGTCGGGTCGATAGAGGCGGCGTGATCGCGGAACCACTGAAAATGGCCTCCTGCCTCTGCCACGCGTGCTTGAGAAGGCCGTGCCTTTCATACAGTCCCGGAGGTCTGGGTTGGAAGGGAATAAATTAATGCGGTTAAGCCATGCGAATAGAATCTTGGAGCTGAATTTTTGCAATTCCAAGAGATCAACAGATACTTGAAATTGGTTAAGACGGTCCACCTTGGATGCGATTTCAGCAATAGCCCCACTGAACACCGTGATCCCCGACCATGGTTGACGAAATAATTCAGCCTTGAATCTATCTTCCCATGAGGAGAAATTCAACGGACCCGATCGCCGTATTGCAAGTAAATAGCCAAAAATGAGACAATTGCTCGAAGACCACCTGGAATTGGTCTAAAATCAGAGTCATACTACTACCCTGATGTATGCGCCCTGGTCCAGATATGCATGGTTGACCGCCTCCGCAACAGCGCCAACAGCTGAAATAATGCAGCTAATGGCAGGGATAGCATGGCTAACCGTAGTATCTAAGTGAGCCAATTCCCTGTCTTCCACCAAATCTGGGCGAAATGGAACGCTTGCCACAGACCATGGAAATGTCATCATCGACTGAAGGTGCCGCTGACCAAAGTTTCACACCATGAGTATGTGCCGTGGATGGTCTGAACCTTGGAGCAGACAAACCATCCTTCGTCCCTTCTAAGCTTGTTGAAAGCCGCGTCAAGAGAAGAAGGCAATTGTTGAAGACATGGGCGCAAAGGAAGTGTGATACTGGCAACATCTCTATTAGTCATGGCATAAGACGTGGCCAAATCATCTGGAGATTTACTAAGAGGTAGCTGAAGTTTTTCAACTATCCAGGCTAACACGTGAGCCGGTTCAACAACATCAAAACTGCCATCAGGAGTGGAGATGTCTGACTGCCCAGGTGAAGGAAAGTAGTCTGAGATCGAGTCCGATCCTCAAATCCCACGAACGATTATTGCTAAGTACGCCAGACGATTGTTGAACATGTGAGGACGAGTGACACTGATTCCAAGCAGACGTAACGGCACGAAGCATGGTATCTAAATCCGGCGCTGGAGCGGAATCAATAGCAGGATTCCAAGACTCAGCAATAATCTGTGACGGGCAAAATAGAAGTGGAAAGGCGTGAAGGTGAACGCTGATCCACTGAAGCGTAACGCTGCCTAGCAGGTGAAACCACCCGCGTACAGAACGGCGTTGCTGATGTGTACTATCATGGGAAGGCACTGACCGTGAAGACGCTACTAGCACAAGGCTGGCTAGAGGGGATATTCTGATTCCCCTGAGGTGAATGAGACCGATTTCTATTATCCCTCTGACGCAAAGACACCAAGCGGTTAGGTGAACCGGATGGAAATGGCGAACCACTTCGACTAGGTGAGACTGAACCGACTACGGGGAATCAAAACGCTGTGGTGAGTCGAACGGAAACACCTGTTGAGGTGAATTGAGTCGGAATGTGAAGCGGTTCGTCCTGGTGAACCTATTTGAGTACGTGAAACAGTACGGCCAGAGGAACCCATTCGACTACGTGAATCAGTTCGATCAACTGAACTCATTCGAGGATGTTCTGGTGAGCCGGTTCGGCCGTGTGAGCCGGTTCGGCCGTGTGAGTCGGTTCGGCATGGTGAGCCGGTTCGGCTGTGTGAGCCGGCTCGGCGATGTGAGTCGCTTCGGCAGGGTGAGCCGGTTCGGTAAGGTGAGCCGGTTCGGCTAAGTGAGTCGGCTCGGCTGTGTGAGCCAGCTCGGCGATGTGAGTCGGTTCGGCAAGGTGAGCCGGTTCGGTAAGGTGAGCCGGTTCGGCTATGTGAGTCGGCTCTAGAAAGTGAACGAGACCTAGAACGACTCTTGCCAGCCGTGGAAGAACGCATTCGAACCTTCGCACCAGATGGTGATTCAACTCGTGTGGGTGAATTGTTCCGGTTAGATGAAACCGTGGAATTAGGAGAACGGGAATACGTTCCAACCGCGCCGATCCCCGCTTTGACGATGAATGCTTAGAAGTTCTCGAAGTCTGTGATCGTTCCGAAGAAACAGACCTACGAGATAATGTAGATCGCAGGTCTGGCGTAGAAGAAATATCGGTCGTTACCACCCTGGTACGCTCCTGAGAACGTAAACTGGGTGAGGGAACCTCCCCTAAAAGCCGTCTCACGTTCTCAGATAAATAGGAATCTGACGGTTGTCCATAAAATCTTCGGCCAGGCGAGACGACGATTGAGAACGGTGAGCAGTGAGGGTGGGGCGATCTAAGCATTGTTTCTTAGCGGGAGATGGACCAGACCCCGCAGAAATAGTCCTAGCCCTATCTGCCAAACGCCTGGCACAAGCAACGTTTGTAAGATTTAAACGCCTCATTAGACAGACCTGAACACTTAGGACAGCGTGTCCCAGTCACAAGCACCCACACAATCAACACGACGTGTGAGGGTCCCATGCTGAAAATACTTTATTACAACGGACGCAAAACTTCCGTTTACTGGCCTTAACAGGCTTAACCATTTTGAGCAATTCTCTGACGAAAAATTTTCCACGTCCACTCAGTGGAGCGACAAGAAAGAGAATGAGTATGTGAGGTGATCACGTGGGTGAGGACTGCGCATGCCTCGTGCTGTCATGGACTAGTGAGCACGACTGAGACAGGAAGGCATGCACAGCACGGGGAGAGGGGCAAGGTAGGTCTTGAGCAAAGTTTTAATTCGTTTCCACTCATGGTCGAATGAAGAGAGAGAGGTGTAAGTCGTGAGATAGGATAAGTTTAAAAATATAATATATATTTTGAAGTTCAGAACATCTAGTCAGGCCGATGGTTAAGCATTCCATGTGAAGACCGACAATGTCCACTTTGTGTTTCAAATGCTGTTGGAGATGAGTTACTTGTTTAGATGAAGCTTTTCTCCAACTGCAACATCAATCTCTGAATGCTAAATACTTAGAATTTCCAATTTTGTCCATCTTTAAGATACTCTTGTCTACTACCAGCGACCTTAAAGGCCTTTCTAAATTACTGAATCACATATTTAATACATTATTTAAAAAATGAAATATTGTTGTTATTTATAACCTGCTATCTTGTATATTATGTAAATGTATACACGCTTGGAGAGTAGAATCCTGGTGTGAGACTGCATTCTAGAATCTCTACGGCGTTCTTTAGAAGTAGTGATTCAATGGCTTCCGTCAGTTTGCTGAGGTGAAGCTTTGGGTAATGATGCACCTGTGGTGTGACGTGAGAGGTGGTGTCGCCTTGAGCTGAATCTCGTAGCCTTCACGTAACACCTGTAGAACATAGTCATCTTGTAGGATTCTCCAATTTTCCCAGTAGTAGCCTAGACGTCCCACAACTGTGAGGGACGACCCAGTTGGTCCGAACCTGATCTTCACTGACCCGAGGAGCAGGAGCCTCCTGATGAGCGACCTCTCCCGGAACGTCTTCTTGAGTTGTTGTATGGTCGGTGAAAATTCCTTGATTTGCCTCGTGAAAGCCTGAAGCCTTCTTATGCTTGGCCTTCTGTACACCTGGGAACTTTGAGCAGAATAGTCCTCGATGCAACAATTGCCGATACATATTATTCATCATCTGCATGGATCTGTTGAGCACCTGATCTCTGTTGTCCTTGCATACTTCTCAAGACGCTGTCAAATAGTGTAGATGCAGCCCAAGGTTGCCGCAATAGGGACTTAATATGATAGTCTGGCCAGTTGCAAGAACAGAGGAGTCCTTGTTGACGAACTAAGGTCAATCCTGCCGATGTACACACCAGGTGATTGGACATAAATTCCTGATCTTTCTTCTGTGTCTCCGTTTTCGGGTTCTGGAAGTTGATGATCAAAGCTTCGTTGATAGCTCGAGATCTAGCTAGTCCAAAGAACGTACGTCTAAATCTTCGTCCACTATGCTATATGTCTCAGACGAGTTCGAGTTATGAGATGGCGAAGATATCGGTATGCCATCAGCTATCCAAGACAAAACTTCAGAGTCTAGGCAGATAGCTGAATTGTCTAGTTCATGGACACTGGTATCTGAAGCCCGTAAGCTTCATCATGGACAGAATCGTTGATAGATGCTGTAGGAGTGAGTGATTGAGTGATTGAGTGAGTGAGTGAGTCTAGTTTTACGCTGCACTCAGCAATAGTCCAGCTATATGGCGGCAGTCTGTAAATAATCAAGTCTGGACCAGACAATCCAGTGATCAACAGCATGAGTATCAATCTGCGCAATTGGGAACCGATGACGTGTCAACCAAGTCAGTGAGCCTGACCACCCGATCCCGTTAGTTGCCTCTTACGACAAGAATGGGTTACTGAAGATCAATATTCTAACCTGGACCTTCACGGGTAAGATGCCGTAGGAGTAGAATGAGTAATCGGCTGTTTATTCTTCGCTGAACGTTGTTGTTGCATAGCTAAGACTATTTGTCGTGTAACACTAGCCACAAAATCCTGGTCCACGGACGGGTTTGTCGAATACGAAGGGTTCGGGCAAGTCTGCGATGTAGTCGCAGTACTTCGCTGCTGACGACGATGAGATGACGATCTCCGTTTATGAGAGTTCGCGAACTCTTCTCCAGATACTAATTCTCTCTGCGGTAGACCCAAACTAGATTGGTTCACGGACTGCGGCGAAGTATGCTGATTATCACTAGAAAGGTTCTCGGACCCTGACGTTGTAGACGAAGATCTGTGATGAGACGAATGTTTCCTTTTAGGTGATGACGTCTTGGATGTATGTTTCTGAGAACTAGGGTTCACGCACCCTGCAGGGGTACTACTAGACGTGCTCTGTGAAGTCGTCAAGATGATCTGCGGTTCGAGAACCGGTGGTGATCTGTCTAGATACGTTGAGGCGTTCTTGAATGATGTAGGTGCATTCATAGACCCCTCTGATCTATTAGTATGTGTAGATGATTAGATCTCGCTGATGACGATGTCCAGACAATCTAGACGCCCTCTTTTTCTTTTCCAAATTGCCAAACGTTGTTGTTCAGTCTCTTTCTTGTGTGGTGACTTCCTCTCAGAAGTAGATTCAGTAACTGTCTCTGTAAGAGCAACAGAGATGGGAGAAACCCCGGGGGAATTCTCCATAGTGATCTGTGACAACTCACACTCCGATGCCTGAGATTCACCCCTCACAGTCGCTGCCTTGCTGATATGCTTTTGTTTATCTGAGACCTTGTGTAAACGTGCTAACAAATATTTATTAAATAAGATGGTTGATACACAATATTCACAAAGTGAGACTAAGGATCACGAATAATCACAGCAAGAGGGGCAAACAGGGTGAGGATCAGCTGGAGATGAACGAAATCTGCACTGTTGACATGCCACCATTGGTAAACAACCACCTGCAATGGAGTGTAAAACACAGAATATAGTAGAAATTTACATAATAAATACATCGTGATGAATCTAAAAAGTATCTTAATGCAATTCACGGCCACAAATTTAGACTAAAAGGCCAAAAAACAAAGGATGTATGCTGCAAAAGGGACCCATTTTGGTGGGAAAAGGGAGGCTACTCATGGATGAGTGATATTACGATCGCCTCAGGGAATTGAAAGGGATTCAAGTTTCCACTTAACCGTCGAAAGGAGAAGGGAGATAAGCAATAAGCATGAGTCAGGATAAGGTAAAATGATATTAATTAAATGCAAATTCTGATAAATGAGCACAACATATACAACGTGAGGCAAAAGAACATGATGTGTTCAAGCAAGAGGAGCACACAGGGTGTGAATCAGGCATTGTTTACATGCGACCGTGTACAAACAGTCACCTGAAATGGAGTGAGAAAATCTCAGAAATTAGCTGTTATTTACTTAAATAAATACATTGTTATGATAATAGAAGGTTCTAGAATACAATTCACGGCTTTAGTTTGAAAATTTGGCCTAAGGATAAAAGTATATAAGCCGTAAAGGGACCCAGGAAACCGCCCCAACCGTCCGCGATGGAGGAGAGAGTGATAAGAGCATGGCTCAGGTCAATGGGATGGCTTTGGTGGGAAAGTGGGGCTCTACATGGGTGAGTGAATTTTGACTGTTCTTGGGAACAAAGGGATTCAGGTTTCCACATAACCTTTGAAAGGAAAATGGGATTATAGCACGAGTCAGGATAAGGAAAATTAAGGAAGCTGCACAGGCCTACACACTGAGCTCTTATTAACAAAGATAATTTTCCTTATCACTCACACGAGCGTGAGTTGAATTTAACAACCAGGGTACTTCAGGTGAAACCATTGGAACGGCTGAAAACCTACTGACCTGCCACTCCGCCTGCTGCTACCCCTACAACTCCACCAAGCTTGGCGGCAGCAATCGCTCCAACGGGTCCTGCCACCACCCCTCCTATTACAGCCCCTACTACAGGAAAGATGACCGCCTTGTACTTGGCTGCCTGAAACACAAAGATGCTGGTCCAATTAATGCATGGAGACACATATGTTCAAGGAACAGAAACATGACTAGCTTACGAACACCATAGACAAAGATATACCTTGGCCACAAGGCTTTGTAGCTCATCTGACTCATCACACTTCAACCTTAGTTTGTAACAAATATCTGATGAGAATCTGAAGGTAAAAGTGAAAGAAAATCCTGTAAAAGCCTCAATATTTATTGCAAGAAGATGGCTGGGTATTAGCCACGAACAGATCATAATGAACCCTGGCACAAAGACTGTTACTGACACATCACATACCTTCCCAAGACTAAGGGCTCCTGCATTGACATCATGCTGCGCCTTGTCGATGTTGTCTTCTATGTGGTCCAACTGATCCCCCTGGTGCTGTGAACATAACAAACACATTCAAGTCACAAATGCCATCACATTGTACGTCTTACTTTCATAGTCACAGGCAGTATGCTCTACAGAACGTTAGATTATAGTTGATACCCACATTGATATGGACACTTTGGATGTTAGATTATAGTTGATACCCACTTTAATAGGACACTTTTGATGTTAGATTATAGTTGATACCCACATTGATAGGACACTTTTGATGTTAGATTATAGTTGATACCCACATTGATAGGACACTTTCGATGTTAGACTATAGTTGATACCCACATTGATAGGACACTTTCGATGTTAGACTATAGTTGATAACCACATTGATAGGACACTTTTGATGTTAGACTATAGTTGATACCCACATTGATAGGACACTTTCGATGTTAGACTATAGTTGATACCCACATTGATAGGACACTTTCGATGTTAGACTATAGTTGATAACCACATTGATAGGACACTTTTGATGTTAGACTATAGTTCATACCCACATTGATAGGACACTTTCGATGTTAGACTATAGTTGATACCCACATTGATAGGACACTTTCGATGTTAGACTATAGTTGATACCCACATTGATAGGACACTTTCGATGTTAGACTATAGTTGATACCCACATTGATAGGACACTTTTGATGCTAGATTATAGCAAATACATACATTGATTAGACATTTTTAATGTCACATTACAGTTGTAGCATACATAGATAGGACATTTTCAGTGTTAGATTATAGTTGATACATACATCGACCATTGAAGCAAATTCATGGATCATCTCATTCAGCTCTACCAGGTTCTGAAAAAACAGATCAGCAGGAATATGTGCATGGGGAATCATGGAAGCCATACACTGTTTGAAAGATAGAATAACTTAATTTGCATTCTTGAAAACTAATGTAAATTCAGATAAATTGGTATTTAATACAGGCTTTAGCTCAGTCAGACAACCGATAGGAGGCCAGTTTGCTTTGAAAGGTACATTATCCATGAAAGGTATGTTTCATTCATAGATCATGCATAGCATCATGAAATAACAAATGACAAGCAATGATTTAGAGATTTGTCTTTTCCCAGATGCTATGTACAGCCTAAATGTAAATTGTAATCCAGTAGTGAGAGGACTGGCAGTAAGTACAGATTAAGTGTATAATCCAGTAGTGAGAGGACTGACAGTAGTACACATTAAGTGTGTAATCCAGTAGTGAGAGGACTGACAGTAAGTATAGATTACTTGTACAATCCAGTAGTGAGAGGACTGACAGTTAGTACAGATTATGTGTACAATCCAGTAGCGAGAGGACTGACAGTAAGTACACATTAAGTGTGTAATCCAGTAGTGAGAGGACTGACAGTAAGTACAGATTAAGTGTACAGCCCAGTAGTGAGAGGACTGACAGTAAGTACAGATTAAGTGTACAGCCCAGTAGTGAGAGGACTGACAGCAAGTACAGATTAAGTGTGTACAGCCCAATAGTTAGAGGAGTGACAGTAATTACAGATTAAGTGTACAGCCCAGTAGTGAGAGGACTGACAGTAAGTACAGATTAAGTGTACAGCCCAGTAGTGAGAGGACTGACAGTAAGTACAGATTAAGTGTACAGCCCAGTAGTGAGAGGACTGACAGTAAGTACAGATTAAGTGTACAGCCCAGTAGTGAGAGGACTGACAGCAAGTACAGATTAAGTGTGTACAACCCAGTAGTTAGAGGAGTGACAGTAATTACAGATTAAGTGTACAGCCCAGTAGTGAGAGGACTGACAGTAAGTACAGATTAAGTGTGTACAGCCCAGTAGTGAGAGGAGTGACAGTAATTACAGATTAAGTGTACAGCCCAGTAGTGAGAGGACTGACAGTAAGTACACATTAAGTGTGTAATCCAGTAGTGAGAGGACTAACAGTAAGTACAGATTAATGGAGTACAGCCCAGTAGTGAGAGGACTGACAGTAAGTACAGATTAAGTGTGTAATCCAGTAGTGAGAGGACTGACAGTAAGTACACATTAAGTGTGTAATCCAGTAGTGAGAGGACTGACAGTAAGTACAGATTAAGTGTGTAATCCAGTAGTGAGAGGACTAACAGTAAGTACAGATTAATGCTGTACAGCCCAGTAGTGAGAGGACTGACAGTAAGTACACATTAAGTGTGTAATCCAGTAGTGAGAGGACTGACAGTAAGTACAGATTAAGTGTGTAATCCAGTAGTGAGAGGACTAACAGTAAGTACAGATTAATGCTGTACAGCCCAGTAGTGAGAGGATTACCTCCTGTAGGTTCTCCCATGATGCTGCTGCCTCTGTGTTGTGGGGGACGACATGAAGCTGGACCTGGTGGTTGCCAAGTGATGAGGGAAGACTGGTGGAGGTAATGTCAGCGCTAGGGCAGGAGGGTGTGGTGGGCGAGGAGCTGCAGGAATCTATCAAAGTTAACATGATACTGTTCATTGTTAATTTCTTTTGTTTATATATTAAATAACATCTACAACATCCTTCAACCTACTGTTTCTAAACCCTTTCATACGTCAGTTAAAAGACTGTACTAATATTTATCCATTTGTCTTCTCAGAGCGGTCTCATGTAGCATGACACTTAAACTAGTCTCTGAGTCTGTGTAATATTACCGATAAACTGGTACAGTATCTCACAATATGAATATCGCGATATGGTTCAGATTCTGCAATATAGTGGGTCTTCCAGAGTTAGCTCCCTTTGAATTATTTGCCCTTGATTTCCATAGCAACAAAAAGTGTTCTAAAAATGTAATTTTCTGAATAAAATTGATACTTTATACTTATCCTGACTCATGCTCTTTTTCTTGTCTTCTTCTTCTTGCGAACATAGTGGAACACTTGTATCTCCTATTGAAGCTCCCTTCAATAAAGAATAGACGTAAAAACACTCCTACCAAGAGTTATCTCTCCAGCCGTTTTAGGCGGGAAACTGTGGCGCCACCGTGCCCACATGCCTCACTCTCTGAGCTGATTATGAGCCCGACACTTGAATTTGCAGGGAAATCCAAAGTGTCTAGTGGGGAGGCTGGGTGGGCTTACCTCATGAGTCAGGATAAGTATAAAATATCAATTTTATTCAGAAAATTACATATTTTTCCTTATCCTGACTCATGCTCTTTTGCTTGTAGAACTGACAGAAAAGGTGGTGGGAAAAGCACTTTAGGATTTCTTTTAGTGAATTTTACGCCATTATATACCCCCCTACGGGAACTTCGTAACTTATTTACTGGTAAACTCTGCTGCTGTTGCGACCCTGACCTTCCAGCTGCCTTTAAATGGGGGGACCACAATAGTTAACTTTTTGGTCCTTTCTTCTGTTAACATTTTAAGTGGATTTTGCGACTCTATCTCTTGATGCAAGCATCAAGTGGAGAAGCGACCCATTCCGGTACAAGTATCCTTACAAGTACTGGGTCATATCACTTATGCTAGTTGTTAGACGAGCATTGTGATTTAAGCAGAACTCCGCTGAGTGTAAGCTTATTAAGTCATGCGATACAAAGGGCGAGACTCCGTCTCAGCGCCTTAGTGGGACTGTCAATTGTTGTGTTACAATAAGTGGGCCGAAATGGTGAAAGTAAGAGCCGTCCTCAGGGGCGATGTTCTTCAAATGATGGTTGGCAACCACCATGTCCCATTTCTAGAAGCAGCCCTCCATTATCGTCCTGATAGAGCGATTCCCAAGTATAGAGAGCGTTGCGTTAGAGCTCTCACTTCATGTGGGTTGGAGGCTCTTGGAGGATCCAGTCCTGCTGCTTTGTAGGCCCGTAGGATGACAGTTCTGATCCAGCTTGATATCTTAGTGCGGAAGACCTTCGTCTGTGCCGCTGTTGATATCGAGATGAAAAGACACTTGAATTTCCGTCTCATGTACCTGGAACGTTGTAGGTAAACTTTCCATGCTCGTTCTGGGCACGAGGATAAGACCTGCGTATCCTGTGGTCCAAGGGTTGATGATAGTGTTGGGACGTGGAACTGTCTGTCTGGATGACCTGACAGTAGATTCTTTGCTATGAAGTCCCATCTCAGTCCCATATGCACGATATTTGATTTGTATCAAATCGTGTTCTCTCAAATCCAGAACATGTATTTCCGACTTCCTTGCTGCTGTTACTAATGTTATCAGGAACAACGCCTTCTGCGTCAAGAACTCTAATGATGTTCTCTGTAATGGTTCGTAGATGTCACTAGTGAGATGTCGTAGAACAACGCTGAGGTCCCATACCGGAGCTTTAAATCTCTGATGTTGGTCCTCCAATTAAAAGGGTGTAGTAAGGCCAGTAACTCTGGTACTTTTGTCAGTTGCACTCGTCCTCATGACGATAACTGATCTCAATGCCGCTAGGTATGTTGAGAGTGTTGACCCTTTTAACTGCTTCCTTTGTCTAGGTGACAAAGGTAGTCCGCCACTTGAGGATGTGTCACTTTCATGGCTGTGAAGCCGATCCTCGAAACGTATCTTTTGTCTCGAAGCGTCACTACTTGTCTTCAGACAAGTTGTGTGAAGACTTGCGTAAAGCTAGTGTGACTGCTTTCGCTGCTCTGACGAAATATCCTCTCTTGATCAAACATGCCTGATACCGTCCACACGTGCAGCCGAAACGCCTCCGGGTTGCCGTGCGCCTGCTTTGTGTGAGGATGTACTAGTAGATTCATACACTCTGGTAGTTGCAGTAGAGACAGTCCTAGGTCTTGTATGAGAATAGGAATTCATATTCTCGCTGTTCAAAAGGCGTGCCCCAAATAGTTGTGGGTCTCATGCCTCACTGATTTAGAATAGAGGAGAATAACTAGTTTAATTAAAGGATATAGTGCCGTATAGGAGACACAGGTGCTCTCACAACCTGCCCACAGGGCGAAGAAGGAGAGAGTGAGGCATGTGGGCACGGTGGCGCCACAGTTTCCCGCCTAAAACGGCTGGAGAGATAACTCTTGGTAGGAGTGATTTTACGTCTATTCTTTATTGAAGGGAGCTTCAATAGGAGATACAAGTGTTCCACTACGTTCGCAAGAAGAAGAAGACAAGCAAAAGAGCATGAGTCAGGATAAGGAAAAATGTGCCAAATATACTTTTAGTTCTGTTGGCTTCATGTAACATTTTACAAGTGGAATTATCTTTAAGTGGCTCCAAACGTGCCAAATATTCTAAGTTTTGTTGGTTTGAATGGTTTCATATGTGATGTTTTTGAGGAATTAAGTGGCCTCAAATGGACCAATTTTTAATTTGGACTTATTAGTAGAGCCTCTGGCTCTGAGTGACCATTTCAGAATTCACATTATTTTGTTATATTTGTTTGTTTCATAATGGCACATATGTTAGGTAGAGAGTTTTATCGATGTCAACTTGTTTATTATGAGGATCATTAAATACTGCATTGAAGTGCGTTCTGTTGGAACAAACAACACTGACCATGAAAATCATGTTATACCGTTACCTTTATTATTATGTTCGCAAAATTTTGTTGCAATACTTCAACTAAACATTCCACATTAAGGCTCTATATCATGTTATTTATCGGTAAACCATTGCCATACACGATGGGGACAGGAAGCATGAAAGTATGGTGTAACAGCAACTAAGAAGGTGATATCGCACACAGAGAGCTATTATGAATTTATGATGTATGCACTTGAACAGAAACATTCCAGTCAATATATCACAATATGTATTGCAATATCTCTTAAATTATTGCAACATATCACAAAATGTGAATCAGGGCAATATCCAGTCCTACTAGTCTCCCTTGATTTGCTGTGGTTACCTAAGTGGAAGTCTCAGCAACAAAGGCCTCTACAGACTGGCTATCCTACACACTGAAATATCCAGCCACAGCATCTGTGTCATGTCTACCTGAGCTGTTTGGGAGAGTCTCAGTAACAAAGGCCCCTATAGATTAGGTATCCCCTACACACTAAAATACCCAGCCACAGCATCTGTGTCATGTCTACCTGAGTTGGTTGGGAGAGTCTCAGTAAAAATGAAATTTTTAGAGTAAAATTAATATTTTATACTTATCCTGACTCATGCTTATTGCTTGTCTTCTTCTTCTTGCGAACATAGTGGAACACGTGTATCTCCCAATTGAAGTTCCCTTCAATTAAAAAATCACTAATTAATACTCACCACGAGTTACCTCCCTTCCACAAGCGCGGGAACGAGGGCGCCACCTCAACCCATGTGCCTCACTCTCTCCTTTTGTTTCGAGCCCGACACTTTATTTTTCCGAAGAAATCCAAAGTGTTAAGTGGGGAGGACGGGAGGGCTTACCTCATGAGTCAGGATAAGTATAAAATATTAATTTTACTCTAAAAATTTCATATTTTTCCTTATCCTGACTCATGCTTATTGCTTGTAGAATCCGATGGAAAAGGAGGTGGGAATATATATACTTTGGATTTTAATAATTAGTGATTTGAACTGTGATGATTGTAATAACCCTATGGGAACTTCATAAAGGCACTGAACTGATGAATTCCTGCTGCTTAACTTATCAGCTGCCATATAAAGGTTATTACAATTTACTGAATATGATAAAAGTATATACAACATTAATGTAAGCTGAAGCTATTAATGTGATAGTATAAACTTCTGTGAGTTTATAGTGGATACTTTTATAAATGAACCAAAGTATTAAGCTTAAGATATGCATATATTTAAGCTATAATAGTATAGTACTGTGCTTAAGATATAATTATAACTTAAGCTGTATAATAGTAACCAACTCCTTAGAGTTTGTTAGCTAATACATTTATGAATATGACCATATGACTGAGCTTAAGGATTGATGAAACTTAAGCTGAACATATATATAATAGCAAAACTCCTAGGAGTTGTAAGCTTATATATAGTATGATATAAAACCATAGTACTGAGCTTAAGATAATAAATTAAACTTAAGCAAAATATATAGATAGCATGTAGCTATTAGTACTGTTATCAGATAAGTATAAAATCTGTAAGATAGACTTATCTTCTCCGTGGAACTGTCAACTGTTGGCGAGGACCATGGGACCCGAAATGGTGGATACCTGAGACGTCCTCGGTGGTGATATCTCTCAGATAGTGGTTGGCAAACACCATATCGGATCTCCAGAAACATCCCTCCATTATGGTATTCAACAGCAATTCCCATGTAGAGCGAGAGTTGAGGCTAGCGCTCTAATTTCGTGAGGATTAGAAGCTCTTGGAGGGTCGAGTCCTGCAGCCTTGTAGGCACGTAGTATGACAGTTCTGATCCAGATAGAGATAGTAGTACGTGAGACTTCCGTCTGCGTAGCTGTAGATATAGGGATAAATAATCTCTTGAATTTCCCTCTGCTCTGTTTGGATCGTTGGAGATATATTTTCAGTGCTCTTACTGGGCATAGTGATAGATCCATCGTATCATGCGGTCCAAGTATGGATG